GGGCGGGGGCGGTGGAAGTCGAAGAAGAAGCCCTGATTAAAAGAACGACCAGTTGGAGGAGGGGAACCCTAAAATTGATCATGTATTTTTCTTCGTGAGGCGTGACTCGAGTTAATTTCTTTTTCCAAGTAGCGCGGTGTACTTACAAAAACTAATCAGAAGTTGCTAACTTACTCAACACCAAATTCTAGTGGCTAATTTGTATTGGTAATCGCATGGGGCCGAGTAAAATTAAGGATTAATATCACGCGTGTTTTCGGAAGTTGCTGCTGAAATTGCCCGCGACGAGGGAAATTTATGCAACTTCCGAAAACACAAGTGATATTAATCCTTAATTTTACCAGGAACCATGTGATTACTTGTTTATAATATAAGGGGCAAAATGTTTTCTTACTGATCTCGCGCAAAGCGGGACGCCATTGTTACAAAACAAACAGAAATTTCTTTACCTTGGCAGCCGTTGCTAAGCGATTTTCAGCCAATCATTTTCAAGTAATTTTGCCCGGGGCAATTACAAAAATTAAGAATAAATGCCCTCTGTCTTGACCAATCACAATTCAGTAATTTTGCCCCTTATTTGATAAATAAATGTATGAGACTAGCTCACTTTCTGTCGCATATTGCGACCACGACCGAGTGATACTACTCCCCCAGGGGATGATAGTGCATTACAGGTACCTCCTCCTCTCCTCCCTCTCTTTCCGCGCCATTTTTAGTAGCGAGGTGGCTTGGCCAAGAGCAGAACAAGGCGACCACGAGCAGGGATAGAACCTATCAATTCATCACCAGGCCGCCTCGTCAAACCGCGTCACATCTATTGATAGAAAATTAATTGAATCTCAATTTAAAATTGAACTTCTACTGTTTAACCAAGTTACAGGTCAAAAAACTTGGGCAATGAGAACTTTATAACCCTTTTTTATGTGATCAGTGAACGCGACTGTGACCAGGATTGAGATTGACAGTGGTGATTTTCATGTAAACTTTTAGTCACTTTTTCCTTTTCCTTTCAGAAGTATAAGTTCATTCGTATCGATGGCAGCACACCAGCAGGAGTTCGGCAGAGTTTGTGTGATCAGTTTCAGCAAAACAAAGAGTGTTTAGTCGCTGTTTTGTCAATCACAGCCGCGAATACAGGTGAAGCCACAACTTTTATTAGAACATAACCAGAGTAAAGCGCGCGCTCTGACTGGTCACTTGTCTACCCGGTTTTATCCCATGGGTTTACGCTGCTGACGTGAGCAAATGCAAAGACTAGTTTCCACGATTGTTTTTTCTGGTCACGTAAGAATTCAGTGTTAATTAAAAGAGAACTCTTTTGCTACAATGTATCAATGTTATGTTATAAAACAAATAGTAAACACCACAAAGTACACCATTGAGTTATGGGTACACGCGGGAGGTTGCTGGGCACGAAAGAAGCGTAAGAGTCGCGCAAGGCGAAAGCCGAGAACGACTCTAGCTTCTTGAGTGAACCGAAGAACTGCTTTTCGATCTACATTGTAAGTGAGGACAACAAAGTCTTGGCGATGCTGCAGAATTTGACATTTTCATAGCTTGTCTGAGGAGACTTCAACTCATTCTACTCTCTTGTTGTATTATTCTAGATTAAATTTTTGTTTTACCATTAGGTTTGACTCTTACCGAGGCCAGCGCGGTTGTGTTTGCTGAACTCTTCTGGAATCCTGGGGTGAGACTTTGAGCAATGGATTATTCCCTGATGATATCATAGACTGTATTTAAACTAAAAGAAATATTTTAAAAAGTACTTCGCTGGATTAATAGTCACAAAATGCGGACGGAACTGAGCAAAGAGGGGCTTGAGGCGTGCAAATAATACTTATGAGTCTTGTAAACTACTGCGTCACTGGTTCTTTGTTCTGATTGGCTGCTATAGGATCAAGTTGCAACAGTTGTTGGACTAATCAAGAAGCGTCACAGTCATAAAGCTTATTATTTGTTTGCCTTATTTCCAGGCTCTTGTCCAGGCAGAGGACCGTGTGCACAGAATCGGTCAGAAGAATACCGTAAATATTCACTACCTTGTTGCCAAAAAGACTGCTGATGATTACCTGTGGTACGCAGTGACAACTAACTTTGTTTATCATGAATGCTTGGTGTGATTTTGATGCCATTCAAGGTCTTATGGAATACAAACGTGCTTTGCGACGTTTTTTCAACGAGTCTGTTATGTCAGCCTTTTCAACAACTCGGTTCTGTTTTTTCTAAAATTTGCATTGGATTTTTAGTCAATCATCTTTCTCAACATTGTTATTCTTCTGCTTTTGTCACAACGAACCCAACACCATGTTTGCACTAATGGACATTTATTTCCTTGTTCCTTTCTTTTATTTTTTTTTTTTTCAGGCCGCTGATTCAAAACAAATTGGAAGTTCTAGGTAAAGCAGGTCTTTCAGAAGACGTGTTAGAAGCTGACTGCACGTTCTTCAAGGTACTCTTCAACTTACATAACGTGGTTGTAATCATTTTTCGGCACCAACTAGAGTTGTTCATTACCTGTTAAGTTACGAACTATTTTTGTGGGTTTGTTTCTCAGGATCCAAGACAACAGACGCTATTTTCTTTTGTGGAATCTTTCGTGGAAGATTACACGGCTGTCAGCCCCTCAAGTGAAGCTGAAACCACGACATCATTGAACAATAACTCAGACTTTGAAATCCATACGGAGTCTGTTGCTGTGGAAACAAGACAACCGAAAGATGGCGGAAGTGACGCAAGAAAACGGACGAAACCCAAAGAGAGTGTTTCAAAGACCGGAAGCAAGTTTGCAGATTTATTAGCTGACAAGTTTGACTGGTTTGACGACTTTGGAGATGCGGAAGAGACAAGTGATACCGCACTATTTGATATGATAGGAAGTAAAAACGCGCGGTGTGAATCGAAAGGATCAGCTCTAACAGAACCCTCTGCTAAGAGACAACGGCGTTGAAAAAGACCCATCCCTTGTTTTAGTTGTCTGGTGTTAAGATGACAATTTTTCTCCGTCTGATGTGAGGCGTGTGACCGTTTATCACCCATGTTAAAATAAAACGTAGTTAGACTAAAACCCGTTTTACCAAGTCTACATTTCAAGGTACCTATTTCTTACACGGTTGTTGTTTTGTGATCGAATTTACGGATGTTAACGTCGCTTGCTTTGTGTAGAAATCCTTGCCAACATTTTTAAATCTGTGCGTCGTGTTGGACGAACTCAACAACTTCAGCCAAGCCTTAGAACTCCCGGCTTGTAAATAAATATTGAAAAAGCAGCAAACACATTGTAAGCGTGTAGTATTTAGCTCGTTGTATAAAATAGAAACAAAGAAGACATACCGTAGCCACAAATTTTACCATTACAAATTAAGATTTTCGCATTTGTCAACTAGAAGGAAAGAGATAAAGCCAAGAAATGAATTCAAAGAAACATAATATCTGTTACAGTGTAATCTGTAAGGGTTTTGTTATCTGGTACCCATGCTCTTATCATCTTGTGCTGTACTTGTGCTGCCTGGTAATGAATATTATCGATGAACGGACAGCAAAGGTAGGCCCTAAAAATTTACATAATTACCTTATTTTTAAAACAAGTAAATATGAAAAGTGCATGAAGACTGTTCTTTAGTGCTAGATCTTATTCATTTTCTTTGCTAATGAGCGTAGAGTTCATGACACATACTTATATTGGCAACAGTAGTGTACCGCGATATCCCATTATTACTGCCTGCGGACAAAAATTCGTGAACATCGAGATGAAATTCTACCCTTCCAACAACTTGCGACACCTAGTTGGTCAAGTTATCTACGTCTACAAATTTTACAAAACATAGAATTGAAACAATTTGCAATTCTCGCGGTTTCGGTTTTCAGTGCACCAAAAATTTAGAGGAGGAATGACAAATTGTACAAGGAAGTTGAGTGTCTCGCAAATAAATTTTCTTCTGATCACCTTTGTGATGAACCTTAAAAGCTGAATTTCTTTAAGGCCCGAGATTTGTCTCGGGTCTCCGTCCAAAGGTATCGTCTTAAACGATAGTGGGATGTGTATAGTTTGTATATGTTTGCCAAACAACCCAGAAAACATTGCCGCTTTCAACTTTTAAAAAGTTGACGTTTAGTGTCCCTTCGACTCCCAGGGATTTTGGAAAGCGTAGGCGTTTGTATGTTACTGCTGGTACTCCCGCGGAAACAGAACTTGGGTATTGCATGCGCAAATAAAAAAAAAAAAATTCCAAAAAATCTTAACTGTGTACTGTACGAGTGTTTGCCTATGGAGTAGAGAAGTTCTGATCCCTTCTAGCCGGGTACACAATTTTTTTGTTTGAGTCGCCAATTTATTATCACAACACTTTCGATTCGACTTCCGTTAAAACGATATCATTTTCGCAAATAGGAAATTTGGAGTTATGCAACTGAGATGCACATTGTTATCGTAAATTTCTTGGCAATGAACCAGTCACCCGTGTGACAATTGGCCACATCCCAACTGTTAGACAAGATAATTTATCATATTAAAACAAAGCCATTGTGTGGTTTTGCTTGTCTATTCGTGCTGCGTTGGCACGAAAATCAATAACAGAGGAACTGAAATTCGCAAACACTTCCCTTTTGAGCCATTTCGAAACGTTCCTATAGTTGAGTTGGTCAGCCATCAATCAGGATATATCAGAAACGTTTAGCCGAAAGGTAAGTTTGTATGTCGCTCATTATTCTATACTGAATCTAAAGGACATCAGTGCATTGATAATCTGACGAGCTATTCAAACTGTCTTAGAGGCTCCGATTTCGCCGGTCAAAATTTGATGTTTAAGATCTAGATAACGCCCAATGTGTTATAAATCCTTTACATTTAAAAATGCTGCTAACTCCGAAACTGAAAGCCTTTAGCAGTGATTATCTTTTCAAAGGAAACGTTCGCGCCTGGTTTTTTAAAGCAGGATAGATTTTGTGATGGCGCATTAGTAATAAGCTTAGTTTTCAACCCGACTTCCCTGACACAGGTTGTTCTCGAAACTCGTTTGAATTTATGGCTTAGTTAAATTTTCGTTTCTAATAATTTCAAGGGTATGATTTAGCAATTGCATGTAGAACGTTCCGAGGCCGTGAGTCGTGTAACATTGTTACAGAATATTCTCCGTTTTAGTGCAAGCCGATCATTTTACACCGGTAAACATATGTAAGTTACATCGTTGAGAAGATACAATTAAGACTATCAGGCAAGTTTGTTGCTAGTCTTTCGCAATACCTTCTTGTTACTATGTTATGGTGGTTTGCATGATTTTCATATTTTACCGAATAACGAAACATATCTGGTCTTTCTCAGCCGTAATGAATAATGTAAATTCTCTCCTCGTCAAACTGAATTAGTCCACTGGTACTGACAAATTGTTTTTTTGAAACTTCACTTACGAACACGTTTTGGAACGAAACTTTCCTGGCTTAGAAAAAGGTGATTTTTTTTTCGTTTTTAAATTTCATTTAATACACAATGTAAAGTTTGCAATTTCTCATTCATTTTTATCCCAATACAGTCAAAAGTGTTATTCAGACGTAGCTGGGCACCATGCACCTGTTGAAAAAAATTGCAACCTGTTGCATTGCTATGTGTTCAGATTGAAATAAACATTGACAACTTAAAGAACTTTGTTGAATCACAGAACATTAACATCGCCTGGCAAAACGACCTCGTCTCTGACGTCAAGCTTTTTAAATACTTGCAAGGGGTACACTACTTAGTACACTAATAATGAGGAAATTTACAAACAAAAGCTGTAAAAACCGATTGTATCAGTCAGAGTGCAGAAAACTCCCAATCTCCAGGTAGAAAAATACTCTAACTTCAAGAAAGTAAATGTACTTTTGATGTAGGGGGGAGGGGGGTATCTGCGAGATTGTTAGCTCTCAGTGTACTAAAGAATAACCTGGGTACAGACATGTTTGGACATTCTTTCCCGGCGGAGCTAACCGTTTGGGAGGAAGCAAAAGTTGCAAAGAAATGTCAGCAAATGTTAGAATCTCCGTCAAAGTCCTCATGCCCTCCTCTTCAAAACCAAAAACAGCATTGTACGTAATTTCATTGTTCTGTGGTTTTTCATCGTTCCACTTTTAAGGAAAAGGTACAAGACTGAGCTCGGATACGTATAGACGATGGTTATAGTAGTTTTTCCAGCTCACTCTATCTACCTACATGCATACTTCTTGTGCAGATTGCAATGCTACTTTATCTATTGTCTGTAACAAAGCCTTTCTAACCCTGTCGATGAGTGCAAAGCAATATGATTTTCACTCAAAAGTGGGGCTTAGAAGGCATATTTCTAAGTAAAAATTAACAAAAGTCGCAAATAATGAACCGGGCTTTATGTTTGGCATTGATCTCTTATGAGAGGAAACGATATGTATTGGATTAACGAGTGAAGAATTTACTCGATGCCATGTAACCTCAGGGTTAGTAAAGGATTTTGGGTGAAAACTCTAAGTTGGCTTCAAAATTGGTATTAACTGGAGGCATTTTATTGCGGTCACTTCTTGTATACTTATTTCCGTCTGAATTTTTAGTCCTTTCCGTCCGCTCTGGAAATAGAGCTGAGACCAGTTGATAAGTGATAAATAATAGTGATCATGATCATGATAATAATGATTTAGATTTAGATTTATTTAGATTTATTTAGCTTCGCCAACCAGCAGGGACACTGCAACAGCTTGCGCCGATTACTGCGCCGATTTCTGCCCAATAAACCCACCCATCCCACCCCAGGGGAGGTCATCCATCACACAGTAATCTCGTGTGTGGAAAATTAACGTCTCCTACCCCAACCCTGCAGGAGACGGAACCTCCATTCATTCGTCCTTATCCGAGAAGACTAGAATATCTAACCATTTCTAGGTGTTATAGAAAGGTAGCAAATTCTTCTCAATTATTTTAAGACCCTGAGTGTTGGTTCGGCCGGGGCTCGAACCCCCGACCTCCCGCACNTTCGAATAAATCAGAAATATAGTCAGGCCCATTAACTTTTACACGTTTAAAAAGGAGGACAAGAGATTGGTAATATCGTCTGTGTTCCAGTGATTGCATATTTACAGTTCTAAGACAATATAGGGTCATAATCAAAGCTATTTCCAAAATTTAAAAGGACTTTTAGGGCATAATAGTTTGCAAATTCAAGTTTCTTTTTCAAGGTTTTATTAATTCCTAGTAGTAATGGACTACAATATTCAAGGTGCGGAAGTATGTAGGCCTTGTACAGCATTTCGCTCCGTTTCGCGGAGCGTTTCGCTCCGACGAAGTGTTAACGCTCGAAACGTCAGCTTTTGTAATCGTTACGGTGGCCAATTTACCATTTCAACTTTGTTGATATATCCAAATTATCTTGTACAGCATTAATGAGATATCAGCTGGGACAAGCTTTTAAGTCCCTCAGAGCTCCGATCTTAACATAGACCTTCCTTAAAACAGTTGATAGGTGGTATTTAAAGGATAGCTTGTCATCCAAACGAACACCAAGGATATTCATGTAGCCGCTTATCATTTTGATAACGGCGTCGCCAATATAAAGAGCACGTTCATGAGAGTGTTTACCCAGAATCATAGCTTGGTTTTTCTTGCTGTTGACGAACAAATAATTTGAAGCAAACCAGGATCTGAGGTTCTTAAGATCTTCGGTTAATCGTAAACTTGAACTGTGCCTGACAGAACAGCCGTTCACTTCGCCTACCAAACTACATTATCGAATAATTATTTTTGGTGTTCGTGGTTTTCGCCTTCACCTTAATTAACGTCACGTAAACGAAACTCTTTGCAAACGGTCCTCTTGAGAACTCATTGTGTGGTGGAGTAACGACCACTGACGTCACAATTTCCCTATTCTATACCCTCATGTGCACTATCCCTCTTCGGTGGCTGGATAAGACTTGGAATATGTTAACCTACTAAAGAAATTTATACCAGCAATGAAACACACACCACTTATATTGATGGTCTTGAATTTCTTTCATAAACTTTGATGACTGAAGCAAATAACTTCTCAGACTAAACCAATGCCATCTGGCCGCTGTTTTGAAGTAAAATCTTTAGTTTACAAACCACTCGTACTTTATCCCAATAAGGATCATTTTTTCAAGTAATTATTTTTCCAGGAAGTTTCCATTTTGGAGACCCATCTACAATCAGCTTAGATTAAGATTTCAAGTTAAGAGAGAAACTTCGGGAATCAATAAGACCATATCAGAGGAAGAGATAGGACTGTCCATGCAATTTAAACCAAGTGTCTGTTGCAGCAAATTCAGCTTCGTCAGCAAAGTGTCTGTCCAGTGTTTGCATCTGGTAAAGGGTCCATTTTAACATAGGGTTCCTTTTAGGGAACGGTACATTTGATCACGTGCATGATAGAAAAATGAAAAGGAACTTTACTTGGATCAGGGAAAGTTCAAAATTTTTTACCCCCTAGTATTGCGCGATGGATCGAAAAATATTTTTGAATCACGCTAACATAAATACTGTAGCAACCAAACGGCAAAAGTGATTCTGATTTTCAACCATCAATAAAAAAAAGTCGTTTTATATTTATTTACTGAATAATTATTACAGTTTCTTTGTTGTCATTTCCCGTTTAACTACAGTCCGACACGTTCCATCAATATCATTTTGCCATCTATTTTTTTGTCCCCTCCCACTCAATTCCCTAATCGTGTGAGAAAGGGTACCCTCACAGTTAACATCAGATGACTCTTATCTTCTCTGTTGACATGCAATACCAAGTGCACCCTAGCCTTATCACTTTTTTATTGCCTAAAAGAGCAATTTTTGCGATCATTTAGTATAGGTAATCGCATGAGGCCGGATAAAATTAAGAATTACTTTCACGCATGTTTTCAGAAGTTGCTGAAATTGCCCTCGTCGCTTCGCAACTCGGGAAATTTCAGCAACTTCTGAAAACACAAGTGATATTAATTCTTAATTTTACGAGGACCCATTGCGATTACTTGTTAATGAAATTGAGGGGAAAATTACTGAATTTCTGAATGCGCTCTTCAGTCATAGTAAGCCATTTAAAGTTGACAGAGAATCAATGGCCACAAATGCACGAATGAGCTCAATGAAATTTTATTTTTGCACAAAAGATACCAGGACTTTGGATAGGCTTTTGATGTTAGATATCTCTCCAGTGATGCCTGCATTACTCAGTTCATGCAGTCGGGCTCGTATTCATCCCCGATTTCTTTTCGTAACTCGGCAGAAAACTGCGCCAGCGTTCGGTCGAGGACATCGCTCTCGTACTCTTCCAAATTTTCTTGGAAGTTTCTTTCATTCGCCCACTTTTTAAAAACGTTCTTCCAGTACTCCGTGCCGTTTCCTCGTGTTTTCGTTTTCGCTCTTGTCTTTTAATTGTTCGACATATTCCTCCGGTGTCAACTATCTCGAAACGAGAAGCCATTGTTACAGAAAATCTTCAGCAATAACTTTTCGATAGCATAAGCTGTTTCTAGGCAACCTGAGTACCAATCATGAGCTAGTAATTTTGCCCTCTTCTTGAGCAAAATTAAGAAAAAATACCCTCTTCATAGACCAATCAGCATTCAGTAATTTTTCACTCTATTTTATTATGTCGGAAATCGGGTGATCACAGTCAACGCCGATTGAAAGCAGTAAATATACATTTTACGTTTAAATGCTTGTTGTCATTAGTTTCTTGGTCATAAAGGCCCGGCCAAACGATAAATGTTGGACGATCCAACATGTTGATTGCATGTTGGACAGTCCAACATGTGTAAATTAGGGGGTGGCCAAACGATACCAAACATCCATTCAACATGTTTGATCAAACATGGGACGCATAGGGTTGTGGGTAAGGATATTTCCCAGCGTACACCACGTTGTAATATCCACGGATGTTTGAAACATGGCGGAGAGTAAAGAGAAATTTAAGCGTTATTTATCAGTGTTATTAGTGCTTGACGAGCTTGAAGAAACCGAGGATCGATAGAGCAAGTAAACGAGGGAAAACAAGAGAATGGATTCGAAGACCACAAGAGTGTGGTCATATATATCTTATTAACCAAGCGCGAGGGCCGTACTGGGAGAATATCGGCCCGAGGTCTTGACAGTACGGACCGAGCGCAGCGAGGTCCGTACAAAAAAGACCGAGGGCCGATATCCTTCCAGTACGGTCCCGAGCAAGTTTGGTTAATAAGAGATTTATTATACGACTGAAGTTCAAAGGGACATAAGTGCGGTATCATTCGGGACCATTCGGGACAGTGCCCGGTCCAATACTGAGAGAATGTTGACCGGCAATAGAGCATTTTGATTGTTTGATTTTAGTTATTGGCCCTCTGACTGCCAGAGTCGTGTAATAATTTACCAATATTGTTCGAGAACTAGCCGCCGTTCGATAAAGAAAATTTGCTCGTTCTCTCTTGTCTTTCAGGTGGTACTCGGCACAAAAAACATCCCATAAGAAATAATTTGGATATATCAACAAAATTGAAATGGTAAATTGGCCACCGTAACGATTACAAAAGCTGACGTTTCGAGCGTTANAATTTTATTCCTAATATCACTCACGGATATATCGAGTTCCTCTTCGATCGAAAAATATGCTCGTTCTCTCTTGTCTTTCAGGTGGTACTCGGCACAAAAAACATCCCATAAGAAATAATTTGGATATATCAACAAAATTGAAATGGTAAATTGGCCACCGTAACGATTACAAAAGCTGACGTTTCGAGCGTTAGCCCTTCGTCGGAGCGAAAAGAATCTATTGCCATAAGAATCTATTCTCTTCCAATAGGTGGATCAATCGGTCGGTTTCCTCGTCGCTCCAACGTCTTGCTTTTTGTTTGGTGTTTTTTTGTTAGAAGTTTGAGCGACATTCTGCGCTGCTTCCTCGCTGGCTGCCATTTTCAAACTACAATGACGCAAGCCAACGGTGTCTATGGTAACGACTGAGTTTGCGGTCACAATGCGCGTGCGCGCATGCAACATGTTGTTGAGACTGGCTAAACGAACAAAATTTCACACATCCAAAATGAGAACAAAAGAAATGTTGGACGATGTTGGATCAAATGTTTGATACTGCTTTAAACATGTTCCAACATCATCTAACATGTTGAGTGGTCATTAAACGTGGTGGCTGACACGATAAAATGTTGGTTCACCCAAAATGTTGGATCGTCCAACATTTGATCGTTTGGCCGGGCCTTAATTATTTTCTTGTTCTGCGCCAAACTTATCCTATTACCGGCCTGACACGAAGGGAATGACTTCAAGAAATTTCGATAATTTTTTCATCTACCATGTGTGTCCTTAAGACTGTAGTGGAGTAATTTTGGAAAATGAAATATATTACACCGAATTTTATTAAAATAAGCTTCAAGTAGCGTCTTGTTTTAGCAGTTACTATGACTGATTACCGGCAATGAGTTAATTCATAGAGTAGCTTCGCCAGGGATTAAAAAAAGATTGCATAAGCAGGAGCCCATGGGCTCCTGGCATAAGAAATTATTTTTTTGGGTGAACTCATTTCCGTTGTCAAAGTAATTCCAGTGTACTCAAGAGCCTTCTCTCAGCTACGTGACTGACACGTAACTCAGGCATTTTCGCGTCCCCCGCCATGCTCTCGTGCGGAGGAACAGCGAAGGAAATCGTCGCAACAGGTTATTTGGGATATTTCTTTTTCATTAGCGTCTTGTATAAATGCGATTTTTTTTCCCGGTATCTAAGTACTTACTGTCATTTACCTTGATTTTTTTCCGACACTTGCTGCCATCATAGAAAACAATGTATCATTCGAAACGTACGGAGAGATTTTGAAAAAAAAGTACATATTTTTTTGTCCTCTAACGATTGGGCCTGTTCAATGCGTGTAAACCTGAGTTAACTTGTGTAATATCTTTATTCTAAAGGCAAAAGTGTTTGAAGAAAGCTGAGTAAACTTTAATTCGGAATTTTGCTGACAGATAAGGTGTCAATTAAGGCGAAGCAAGACGCAAGGGCGAGAGAAGACTTTTCAAGGCCAAGCGTAACAACACTGAACTTGACACGTTGCGTAACTTGAGAAGGCGCACTTGGGTTCGGCCCTACACGCTTGTGGCCGGTTAATAACGAAACCCACGTCATAACTGAAGAAATTGATGATAGCAGAGTGGAAGGTCGTAAGGGAAAGGGAGAACGATATGTGTTACGAAAGACTTCATAAGTCTCCGAACGCTTTGGGAATCGTCTGTGTAAAGCAAGCTTAACGATAACTTTGCATAATCAGTTGGATTGTCGGTGGTCCATGAACCGTAAACACTGCTCAGTGTGAAAAGTACCTTCGACGTTCAAGGATTTCCGATTCTTATAGAATCAAAACAAGAACTTATCTTAAAACACGCTTCTGAATTTGCTATTATGGCCATTTGCGACCTTCATTTTAGCAGACTGTTTTATTTTATGATGGCATTTTCGATGCTGAGCACGGCAACAATCGCCGGACAAATTATCAACAGAAACGATAGCTTGTCGTCTTCTTCGAACAAAAATGACTTCCTGAACCGGACAGTTGTTTTAAACGACGCAAGCGAGCATTTTTTAGATCTGATATTCCACGAATACACGGACAACTTGACGGAGAAAATCTCCATTGCACGTTTTAAAGACTTATTGAATGTTTTAAACCTTGGAGAGGTCGTATCGACGAAAGAAACATCGATGCAGCTTCCTAAAGGAACATCTCATGGACATGGTGGCCAGAATTCTCAAAGCCACAATGGAGAATCTGGTGAAGCTTCAAGGCTGAGGAACATGCGAAGGCGGCGAAGCGAGCATCATTCCAAGGGAGGACGGGGACAATTGCAGTTGAATTCAAAGACGACCCAAATTCTCATGAGGTCTTCACGAAGAGAACGGCGTCATAGTAAAGAACGTAGCCATTCCAATAAAGGTCACACGGAGGTGAGATATTCCGCTTTAATTAAAGAGCTTTTTTTCTTATTATTGTTTATTCTGCTTGGAGCCAGAGTCTTAATTGCTGAAGATTCTTTTGGCAGTTATGATTTTAGTTGTAAGAGAACTTTAATTGCTTATGTTTAGAGGACAAACAACATTATGCAAAAAACCCGGCGAAACTGCGTACTTTTCGATTTAATAATTAGGATTTAAGCCTTCAGAGGGCTTAAAAGGTACCCGTCCCACTCTCTTATTATGTTAGATTAACAAAAGTATATTTTTTCTACACGGACTAATGCGTTTATCAAAACTATGGAAATCACGAGAAAAATGCACGAGTTTTCTTTAAATTGTAACCAGTACTCTTGTGATGAAAAACTCAACGAAAGGAAATTGCATCCCTAATTGGATTATTTTGACAAGATGTGTAATCGAACTCGCCGTGAATTTTACACTAAAGAAAACGAATATACGCACAAATTCCGAAAATTTGATGTAAAAATTTTGTGTGCTTAAGGTGGTGAAGGACTCTTTAATTCTTTTTCTTGACTGGGCAGGACAGTGTGGCATTGTATACTCAGTTTTCATTCTCCGACTTATAAACCTTGTTTGAACTGAAGCTGGAAAACCTGTGCGCTTTCGTGACCGGCTAGGCAGTGTCTTCTTCCTTCTGCTAGTGTGGTCGAATTCAGCTCCCAAAACTTGCCTTTCTCATACACTGACAAATTTCTGTCACAACTTCGGAAACACCTCTCAGTGCGTATAATAAATTACACTTGGAAATGCAAGGAACAATTGAATATCTGCACAAGATACTGCTCCAGAACGAGTTTGGGAACCCCTCAATTTTTATTACAAAACTTTCCTAACTTTCTTTTGGATAAACCGGCTAAAGGTGAAGTTTGACGAAACGTTCAAAGCTGAATCATTCCAAAGAATGAATTCAGACAACCTGGACTCTTTCAGACGTAAACTAATCCTTCTTTTCTCTTACTCTCCTTGATTTGCATTTTAAATATAAAGGATTCCATTGTAGTTGTAATTACCATAGCCTAGTTTTATCCAGGGTCAACACGCTAGCATATATTCACGCACAAAGAAACACGCTTGAACATATTTACACGTTAACATATACACAATGCGCTATGTAATAGAGTAAAAAATTATAGTGGCCCCAACCCTACGTAAGAGATTCAGTGTATGATTAGTAAAAAGATGCAAGATTCTTGGTGTGAAAATCTCAATTGAATAATTTGAAAACGGCCTGCGGTCGTCAAACTCTTTTAAGAATTCAAGTTAAGGGAGACTAGAGGCTGTTGAGCCAATATATATATAGCCAACTGGTTTGCCTTCGGCCAGTTGGGATTCTTAACAACGTTATTTTCAATTTGAATTATTTGTTTAAGTTGTTTCGTGGAAAACCTGTAAACTAGCTTCTAGCTAAGTGTCTGTCCACGTTAAAATGTTTATTATTATTATTATTATTGTGTCGGGATTTTTGAAACATTGAATGTGATTTCGTAAAGCGGTACCATTATCGAAGCAGCACGAAACATCCTATTGTGGTTGTACGAACCAACAAACAATGAATGTTAGCGATAAAGGATACCGCTCTATGTCTCCTTAAAAAGTTTACAGCAATAACATCACTATCAAGTGTTTTCGAGTTGTTCTCAACTGAAATCTTAAACTAGCTAGCATTTTCCCCCCCAGCTCGTTTAAATGACTTTCTGCATTCCGCGAACCGAGATGACTTTAACTTTAGAATTAGCAAAGATTCTGTTTTGTTCTTTTATTTGCTCACGAACAAACAGCATACGGCAAAAGCAGAGCTCTCAACACTGCTTAAAAATAGCTTAAGACACGCCCATATTCATTAAGTAAATAAAATTATCTGTTTTTTCTTCAAATTAAGTCTAACGCAAAGTATTTGTTTTTTGTATACACCGGCATTAGCAATTCTCGGCTAACTTGTGATCGCACAACTGAACAAGCCTCGCAGACAGGTGGACTGGTTCTTTTGACTGTATCACTGAGACTAACACCCCGGCCGCCGGGGAGATCGAAGATAGTTATATTTATTCTAGAAGTAGTACGTTTTTCCAACTTGTTATTCACCACCCTTTGGTTCACGAGGATTTGCCTTGCAAGGTCAGATTACTTCCGGCGACGCCGAGGACCTCTGTGGCCTGTCTAGACACTCATCTGGAACCCCTCTACATAATAGCGAGGCAGGGCTTTCTCAGAAAATTCTCCCAAAATAAAAGTTTCTCTTTGGCTGAGATATTCCCGAAAGAGGTGTGATTCAAAACCGGAACGAGAACTAGAGCTATAATTGAACAAAAGATCTAAAGCGAGACAAGCCTTAGCTTGTTGATGTCAAGGTCTGTCAGCACTCCTTGAAAACTCTTCTAGAAGTGCTGACAGAATTGCAGCAGGAAGAAATAATTAGGTATGGCTATGCCCGGTCCCAAAATATCCATGGTTTTCTCGCGTTCTTGTTGTTGTTGTTGTTGTTTTTTTTTTTCAGCTTGTAGCCTGAGTACCAGTCTTTCGAGACGAATATGCTTGTATCTTTTTAGAGTTAGTGTGAATCTCTTTCTGTTGAACGCTTTTGTATGTCTGTCTGCCTTTGCCCGGCCGGGAGATTTTGCGTTTGTGCCAATTTTCAAAGTTTCGTGATCTCTCTGGGTTGGTAAATCTCTGTTAAGCTAAGAATGTCATCTTTTACTTTAATCTTTGAGTCACGATAGATTTCTTATCATAAAAGTTACTTTTACAACTAAACTTAATTAAAATTGACTTTTTCTACAATGTAGATAAGATTTGGAGTCGACTCAGGAAAAATTATGTGATCTGCCAAAGCGAAAGCGACAGTCACGATGAGGCGAACATATTTGAAAAGTAATTCTGCTTTGCGTGGGCGAGTGTTTGCATGGGCGAATGTTTTTTTTGCGTGGCCTCTTTTCTATTGCGATGTTGAGACTCTTTCAGCGGGACCCGCCTAGATCATGTTTATTTTTTCTTCTGAACCGAACTCCCTTTGCACAGTTTTCCCAGTTAGTATCACTTTACTCATCTAGACCTCAACAAAGTGAGGTCTATATGAGTAAAGGTCAGGCACACTACTATGGCTCTTCCGCTTTGGATAGATTAAAAACCATTTTGGTCTCAAAATTATTCTGCATCTCGGAAGAAGCCGCAGAGATCTGCCAAAGCAACGAAATTCATTTCGAAAGGGACTTGGAAAGTTCGTTTAACCGTACGCGTTACGTGTATGGACTTTAGGGCAGCACTTAATTTAACAACACTCATGTAAATAATTGATTTAACTTACGTAATAACTCACATTTAGAGTAAATGGGTTAAGAACTGTCAACCCTTGGTGGAGAATTTTGGTGAGTCAGTTTCGCGCTCCTATTCGCCTTCCTTTTGATATCAACTACTTACATATGCTTGTTGGAGGGTAATTTAAGATTCTTCTAGAGAAGTGAAAGTAGATGTGGTCGTCGAGCTCTTAAAACAAACCTACGCTAATTCTTCTATTTTTTCGGGAGGAACAAGAGTGGAATCAAATAATATCGAGAAAGATACGTAACTAAATTAAAGAGCGTATAGTGCCCGCGCCCGCGATACATTTACAATAGATCCAGAGGAATGGAACACCTGGAACGAAACTTTGGAAACGCTGAGAAAAAAAAGACTTCGAAAGCAAAATCTAAATTGAAATTTAAAGAATTGTTGTAAGCAAATGCTGCTCTCATATTAAAGTCTCCCCCATTTATTCAAATAGCTCATTAGATAAAAAGGGAAACAAACTCCTGGGGCAGTTTTTAACACGGAGTAATGACTGATTTATTTCAGGGTGACAATTTTGGTAATTTTTTATGACAAGGTTATGTCATCAGTGTATTTATTTCAGGGGCGTAGCCAGGATGTTTCAAAGGGGGGTCACAGAGGCTACTCACCCTTTACACCGCTGCTCTCGCGCGTGTATCAGCGGGTGCAGTCGTATTATCGCGGCTTGAAGGCCCATATTAACTAAATACAAGAGCCGTTGACGAAAATACTTTACAAAAAAAACAAATTTTAAAAAAGTGGGCTTTTCAACAATGGCTTTTACGGCCAAGATATTGTCGTGGCGTTTTCGCCACCTGAATATTGTAGGTTGTTTGCTCTAAAGAAGGCCTACAAAGGGGGGTCACAGGCACCCCAGGACCCCCCCCCGGCTACGCCCTTGTATTTGCGTTCATTTGATGGCCATTGTTGCAACAAAAAGCTGGTCTCGAAAACGTTCTCAAGCCGAGATCAAGTCGATGAAGTGAAATTGTGAGGTAATTTTGTAAACGATCATGTGTTTCTGATGAATTTTGCGTCTTTTTCTTCTTAAACACCGGCTGAATCCAAAGAGCGCGTGTTTAGAATGACAAGTCTAATTAAGTGTACGTTGCAGCTCTTGAGCACCCTAACAGCGTTATGGTAAAGGAACATAGAGTTTGCACATGTACATTTTGTCAAGTCGTTTTATTCGTTAGATTTCCCCAATTTTTGTGCCTTTATCCATCAGAATACTTGAATTCAACATACCCTGTTTCTAAAGTGAATCTGTCATTAGGTTTTTCTTCGATTACTGGGTGGTTTTTCTCGATTTCTTTGCTTAAAAAAATACATGACCAGTCACACTATAATTGCTAGGATACTAAAGATAACTCTAGACTTCCTTTTGTCGGGATTTAAATGTTCTTTCAGATTCCAAGCAGTAAGACGAAAACGTATTGCGTTAGTTTTAATATTTGTACCTTTGTTTACAGCAGCGTTTTAACTATTTCATAAATTAAGTTGCACAGTGATGTTTTACAGAAACTAAATTGAGGAGTAATTTTTCTGCGATCCGATTGTCGTCAGATACATTACCACCGGTGATGAAGAACATTATTTTTGTTCGAATACCTACTCGATTTGTAGTTTAAATGAATTAATAAAGTTTTGAAGTACACATCGAAATTTTATTTGAGATTTTGCCAAACCTTTATCGCCACAAATGTTATTTAACTCCATTCGTGGAAATTAGTAGAGTGTAAGTACCAGGGTTGTTATTCCTTTCTGAAAAAAAAAAAAAAAGAGTCGTTCATTTTAAATGGAGATTTTAGTTACTGCAAGAAATACAAGAAATAAGATGCTGTAGTTCACTCATGATTTTGCGTGCAGTGGCAGATGTCCAGTTCGAATTTCCCTTGGCACAAGGCATTTAAAATTAATGAAGGAAGTTCTATGAAAGTTTCATGCCTCTCATAAAGCTGTAACATGCACGTAGATAAAGTCAGGTTCCCGTAGCTTTACATTTGCGTTTATTTCAGTGTTTGACAGGACACGAGCTTCTACACATCCATGATGTGAATGATAAAGAAGGATTGGGCGAAGAAGACTTTGTACGGATTTGTCCGGCATTAATTCAGCAACTCCAAGACAAAGCTTGCATTATAGACAACCTGGAAGGCAATGACATGGGAGAAGACTCGGCCAAAATGTTGCATGGTAAGATTTGATAATGAAAGTAAGTTTTTGTTTGAAAAAGAAAATTTATATTATTTGACCAAAAAAATTTAAACGAAAACGCAAAACAGATATGAAGACACATTTTACCTAAGCCCTTCTCTGCGCAGAACCAAAAGCGCAACATCTCTTAAGAGGAATAAAGGATTTAGGACGTTTTATTAACAAAAAGCAATTCTAAGTAAAAACAATTCTGCAACTGTCATGCGCCAATTAGTAAATGAAACAAATACGCTTGTCAACATTCTTAGAATCTGTAACTGGTGGAACCCTTGAATTAAAATTATTTATATTTTGTCATCGAAAGATCGTCTATTTTTAACTGCGTTTTTGGTACGAAAGGCGCGCGAATTTCGTGAAGTATTTGCTGTATGAACTAAGAACTTTAAGGGGACTTGTTAAATTACTGGGGATAATATTCGTCTCCGTCAGGGTAGAGATAACAGGTTTTAGTGCTGATTATATTTTAGAACAAGCGATACTTGTTACTTTAATTATTATGTAGTGTCACACACACACACCCAAAAAAAAAACTACGAAAATAAGTTAATGAATGTTATGATTGCTACATGTCGATACTGGTTTGCGTGTCAACTTTACAATGATATCTCAGTTTACGCGGGGCCAAGACTTAATTATCAGACTGATTTTGTTAGCGCGCAAAACTTACCGCTTTGTCACCTTCAGCTTGACGGAAACACCAATATAATGGCGAAGTGTTGTGCCGAAACACAACAGCAGCGACAATAGAGCAAGAAAGAACAATTATGGTTGAGAATGAAGATTATTAACACGGATTAAAGCAGAAAGCATAATCTTGCTCTTTTAAGTCTCAGCCGCAACCAGAATAGATAATTTCAGAAAATCATATGTAAAACTTCTAATCCATTTTTTCAAAACCTCCAACCACGCACGCCCTTGTCCAAACTCGCCTCAGAATCTTGTTGCCTTCATCCTCAGAATAAAAAAAACTCGTTTTGTTTCAGTGTGGGGTTATGGTTTCCTATCTATCACTGTCATCAGTTTGACGTCACTTCTTGCGATCGCTGTCATTCCTTTGATGCGTCATTCGATTTACAAGAAGATCATGTCCTTCCTGGTGGCGCTTGCCGTGGGAACCTTGTCTGGAGACGCCCTTCTTCATCTTATTCCTCATGTAAGGCGAACGACTTGTTAAAATTCCAACTCTGAACGACGGGTTGACGTTAATTAAGTGAAGACTGGTTGACCAAATGAGTGATGTGCATACGAACCAAAAAAAGGATAAAACTAGCGCCAAAAGAGAGAATGAACCTAACGTCGATGAAACAACAACAACAAAAATCAAATGACAGCGCGAAAGAGCAATTCTGTGGACAAACGACCGGACATTTGATTGGCTGAACGAAGAACGAACGAACAAACGAACGCACCAACGAACTGACGAACGTGCAAACGAACGAACGATCGAGCGAGCGAACGGGGGAACGAACGAGTTAGCCAGCGATCGAGCGAACGAAATAACGAACGCACAGCCGAACAGGCGAACGAACGCAACGAAAAAGCAAGTGTGAAAGTGGGTGGGCAAACAAACTTAACGAGGCAATGACGCTACTAACTCTACTAACAACTTCACAACCGATCTAATGAGTTACACGAGGACGAGTGATGTGAGAAAGTAATTCAAGACAGAGAAATACATGGAAGAGTGAGTGGACGTACAAACAAAACAAACTCAGAACGTATGCAAGTTAGGAGAGGATTGGTATGTTAGTGTAGATATAGTTAACGAGCACTATCCATAAGAACTGTTAAAAATTTGAAGTCTTAACTAATATGAACTGACAGGATTTGAGGGAAAGAATTCATTTCAGTGTTGTTATTTCAGGCTTTCGTCTCCAGTCACGGTAACGAAGAAGGGCATAAGATGAACATTTACAAGTCATGTGTCATCATGGCAGGAATCTACGTCTTTTTCACGGTTGAGTGCATGTTGAAAGCACGCATGGCGCGAAAGAAACGCTCACATGGTAACCTGCACGTCTGTGACGACGTGACAACTCCAGAAAAAATGGTAAGCTTCCGCATAGATTAGAGAAATTTTCGATGTTGGGTAAAACCTTACAAATACGAGCCAAATAGTAAATTACTGTGGTAATTTATGCCAGTTTTTGTAGCCTGAAACGATTCTGAAAATTGCCTCTTCTCCCTGGAGGGGATGCTAGTCCGTCGCAGCGTAGCTCCTAGAATATCTAGCCAGGGTTTTCCTTCGAACCTTGCTAGAGGACGACAGCAATGGTAAAATTGTTTTGCTCAAGAACGTAACAAAGTGAACTCGGTTAAGGTTCAAAACGCTACATATCAATCTAGTCAAGTCTGCCTAAAGCACCCCATGGAAAGTAGTCAAGTCTGCCTAAAGCACCCCATGGAAAGTAGTCAAGAATTGCTTACGTGTAGTTTCACGACAATATAGATGACTGGTTTTGAAATTCGCCCGTGTGCTTAACAAGTCAGTTATACAATAAATTCAGTTCTGATCATTGACTCTTAACTGCCCTTGCTTGAAGCCAGTATCGCTTATTTGCGTTGTGATATTTAACCCGTGATTCATTTGCACTTTGTTGCAAAAGCTCTGTATGTTGACTTTAATTTCGCTTGTTTGTTTCTTAAAGAAAAAACAAGCTGCGAAATATCAGGAAATGGTTGGTTCAAGGCTCGCTGGAATTCAACGAAGTATAAGCTGCGAGGGCGCCCACTTTCCTAAGGCCAGCGGAGATATTTCAGGAGGTTGTAAAACAACGTCTTATGAAATGGTCCATTTAGAGTCTGGGAAAGAGGAGCGTGGTAGCACAAGCTCCGAAAGCTCCCAAGAAAAAGTGCCGTTGTGGGAGCCTAGAGGCCATGGTCATCATTGCCAACAGCGCGACAGTGTGCAAGAACGGGGTAGACACAGTTTTAGCGACTCGCACCTTATAGCTGCATTGCAAGGCAAGTCTTGCATCCATCCCAACATTTACTCCCATAACAACTTTTCTGCCAGCGGTACTGACAGCCACGACCCAACCCACCACAACATCAATCAAATTCGCTCTCACCAAAATGATCAGTACTCGCACCAGGTCCCCACCGAATCAAACACGATTGCCACGGAAACGACGAGTGATGCTGGAGACGGTGGCTACGGCGCGGAGAATGGGCACAATAATCATCATCACCACAGCCATAACATTGACAAGAACACCTCCATTGCTACTGTGGCGTGGATGGTAATTGTTGGTGATGGTTTCCACAACTTTAGTGACGGCCTTGCAGTTGGTGTGGCGTTTTCGGCTTCATTGACAAACGGTCTCACCACGGCTATAGCGGTGTTCTGCCACGAGCTTCCGCACGAGCTAGGTCAGTTGTGTAGTGTTGTTGTGAGCTTTTGGTGTCGCTGAGGTCTTCAGGTTTCTTACTTAATGCCATGACGAAGACACAAGGTTACCCGAAAGCTTCCCAGTTCTCTTAAAAATCAGTTTTGAGGTGTGTTAATCTGTGGATGGATACAGATCTTGGCTCTCTGTTCTCCCCTCTTTTCTGCTGCATTCTTTTGAGAGAAAGAAGCTTGCCAGATAGCCTATATAACCTGCCTCTGATTTTGGGATACTGATTCAAAATTGTTTAGTTTTGGCATCATCGGCAAGACAAGATTTTGAAAAAAAAAAAAGGTGCATTTACCAAGCGGACATTTGAACCTTTAGAGTATAGATGGCTCTCAGAAGTGGCATAGAAACAGAAAATTGTCCATGGAATCAATCAGATAATGAGTGAAATTCAGTGTATCAGAGATTATTTCAAGTACATCATGATTCTGATGTTAATTTTTACTTGCTTCTCCTCAGGTGATTTTGCCGTTTTGCTTAAGTCAGGTCTGACTTTTAGGCAAGCCCTGGCTTACAACTTTGCATCAGCCATAATTTCTTATATTGGCCTGATTTTGGGCATCATTATTGGCGACATGCAGTCTGCTCACACTTGGGTGCTGGCGCTCACCGCTGGGATGTTCCTTTATATATCTTTAGTTGACATGGTAAGACACACAACAGCCTCAATAGATTATGTATTCATCTTGGAACTCAAATTTAACTTGTATAACATGGGTTAAGCTCACAAAATGTGGACACTAACCAAGTCGATAAAAAAGTCCCTTCTCTTAAGACGAAGATTTGTTATGTTCTGGACTTAAACTTTTGCACGATCGTTGAATAAGAAGCAGAGTTTGTTTGGGATTACAAACGGAGTGGTAGCCAGCGCGTTTTAATCCAGAGAGGCCGTAATCCGTGTGCGCGCGAAAACTGTGTTCAGCCACCTTAACCTTTTGAACCCTAAGAGAGACTAGCATCTAATTTCTCCTGACCCCCTCCACCCATGTTCCTCAGCTCCTTGACCCCTAAGAGTGACTAGCATTCAATTTCTCCTGAGGG